AACAATCTGTTAACTACGGTTTTTACCTTTCCTTCATCAATTTTTCCATCTTGAAAAAAGTAATTAAAAAAGCAATTACACCACGAAAAAGGAAATTAAATGGAGTATCTTTTCTGAAATTTGCTGTTCTCTACGTTTGCAAATAGAAATTTAAATTCTCCGTAATAAGTTTTTCTCCTTTGAAAAACAAAATTTTTTTTTCAAAGTTCTTGCTAGAAAAACGTTTATTTTACGAACGTTTGAAAGTTTAGTATTGATTTCATCTTATTGGAAATGTAACGCAGTTTTCAATGGTATCAACGGATTTGTCCAAAATCTTTTAGTTTTGGAGTTTTCATTGTTTATTTGAAGTAAGTTCGTGAAATCAGAAAAAATCAGAAAAAGCGAAAAAACTCCGAAACTGTTGAGATTCGGACCATAGTTAATTAGAACTTTTTGGTTCAATTTTAAATGTAGAATCTACTGGCAAATTTTGTAACACGAGCAACCGAACACTGTATATGGTTATCAATGACAACTACGTTGCCAATGTGTGGTGATTAATGACCGTTAATCTATAATTATTCAGAAATCGTGAGATGCGTTCTGGTGTGATGTAGGTTTCAGAAAAACATAAACGGCACTCTCAACACGACACGCAATAATGGCACAATTACACAGAAGACACACACTTTGAGTGAGTAGAAATACTTTGATTGAATATATAAACAAATATATTTTGCATTGTATAAATTCACTTTTCCACATCCAAAATCTAATTGTAATATATAAACAATGTTTGTAAATCCCAGGCCCTGAAGATGATCTCAATAAAAATCGAAACGTTGGCACGATAAAGAAAATGTTTTTCTGAAACCTACATCACACCAGAACGCATCTCACGATTTCTGAATAATTACGTTGCCAATGATTATTTGGAGGTAAGTTGCCCATTATTTGTGTGGTGAATAAAGGTATTGTCCTGGGGTCACTGTGCATACAATTGTATTTGTTTCTTAAAATAAAATAAATTAACAATTAAAAAAAATAAACAAAAAACAAGTGTACTTGTGTTAACGACAATTATTTCCGTGTTAGTCATCGTCGTGCTGCTTAACGACAATTATTTCCGTATTAGTCATGGTGCTTTTTAGTCAATCGATGCAGAATATGACGCGTAAAAAAATCCTCTTTTTCCAGTTCGAAACAGAAAAAGGTCACTTGAAGTCACGAGAACATAAATATGTTAAAATACATGAATGTAAGCTTACGATCGAAATTTTTTTGCATCAGTTTTATTCCCAAGCCATGTCGATTAAATTATAAATTTTATTTTTATATCCTTGTATTTATTTTTTCTAAAAAGTTTACGATTGAGACGTACACCGCCAATAATCGAGACTTCGATATACTGAATCGGCCGTGTAAGCAATTGTTGATCTTTTCGGTTCTTGATTTCTTAAAGCATATCTTCCCTTTGTTTAATGTTAGTTTCCTTCTCGCCACAGTCTTACCACTCATCCTCCTCCAAATTAATTTCTCTTAGGTATGCTTTACATATTCCGGGGTTAGAGTTTTAACTTCCCTGCAAACCATGCTTGCAATGATACTGTGGGGAACCAAACCCTTTTCTATTTCCTCATGCCAACGTTGCCATCTCTCCGCATTCCATTTTTTCCCTAGACAGTACAAATCCGAATATGAGATCGTGTGTAACGTCCTCCCCTTGATTTAGCCTCCTTGTCCTCCTGCTTCTCTCTTTACCTAAGACCTCGCGGTGCGCCGGGATCCACATAAATTCTCATACAATTATGTTGAACGTGTTTTTAACAATGCTTTAATTTCCAAGGTTAGGATGTTGAAGTTGTTACTCGAATAACCTATACTGGTTTTAACTCTGGAGAGTCTGGTAGGTATCTTTAGGCTTCTTTTATGGCAACTCCTTAATTAACTCATATCATATAAGTAATTTCATGCGAATAACGAATTAAGGGCCGCGAATTTGAGCCACTCAAAACCGTAACAGGTCAACTCTGGGGAGAATGAAACATTCGAGATGTAATAACCGAATCTCACCCAGGGATGAGCACTCCGCCAAGAAGTGGAATACAGTTTCAATTGAACGCGAATTGCACCAAGAAACCATGAAATATTAGACTCGTTACTGCCAAAGTTGTAATTTTTGAGTCTCTATTATCGGGAGACATCAGAACTTACTAGATGGCAATGTGAATTACTTTCTTTATTTAAAAAAAATAAGAGATCAATTGTGTACTATATTTATGTTTAGTGTTCTAATTGACCGTATTAAGTAATATTTCAATTAATTATTCTTTTTATGTAAGGTCTTGGTCGAGATGAAAAAGTTAGTGTCACGAGCGGGATTCGAACCCATGACCTTCAATACGCCTTTGCTCTAACCACTTGAGCTATCCTGATTTCGACCTCGGACACCAACTCCCCCACACTAATTTTTTATTTTAACCAAAAACCTTAGATAGAAAATAATTAATTGGAATAATTAATATGGCTAATTCTGACCTCCATCCATGAAGTAAATATGGATAAATCGATAAATCTTTGTAGATTGTGTACTCGTACATTGGTTTTTCATCCGCGACCATCTTGGACTATTTCCGCATTGGACAATTTTTAAGCAAATCAAATATTTTCACGTAAATAAAAGCTGATAAATCAAGAATTTTTTGATCTTTAAGAAAAATAAACTTAAATTTTCTTAAATACTTTTCAGAACTGAGGGAAAATACCAATAACGTAGAGTTATTAATTTAATTATGGCCGTGTAAGATCCAGCCCGACAATGTAATCTGTTGTAAACAAAAAATGCTCTGTAGTATGTTAGTTTCGACTGTACGAATTCCCGTTATGTCTGAATATTTTATAATATTATTTAAACAATTTTATTATTAGTATTCCTACTGGGGACCGGTGGCAGAGGGGTAAGGGCGTCCGACTCTTGTTTTGCCGCCCTAACGGTTCTGAGTTCGAATCCATGGTATTTTAATTGGGAATAATTTGAAAAAGTATTGCAAATTGGTTTGACCCCTCATTCGCAATACCCAAAGACTAATTGGACGTTAAGCTCTCCTGTATGACCTGTGATTTTCGAAGTTTGATGTGGGATAATGACGGAAGTGCGCATTATTCTTCTCATTCAGAATTTAGACTCTCTCTCTCTCTCTCTCTCTCTATCTATCTATTTCTATGTATCAATCAATTAATCTATCTATCCAATTATTTATCTAACATCTCTTCCTTACGGCGGGTTGAGGAAAACCAAATATTGACTTTAGAAATTACTAGTCAAACAGAACGGCGTTTCAAGTTGATGCGAGAGGAGTAAGATAACGTCCAGGTCGATCATTTTGATATACGACACAGTCGACAAAGTTTATAAAAAAACACGAAATTATTTTCAATCATTTCCAATTTTGTACTTGCAGGAATATCAACGTTGTTAAGTTTGTCTGACTTTATCGACCTCTTATTGTTATGTTTTTTGTTTTTTATAATAAGTGAAATTTAATTATTCTAAAGAAACATTTTCATTTAGTCCCGTGCTTAATGCAAAAGTGTATTGAATGATAATTAAAGTGGAATGAAGAATAACGTAGACATTTTATATTCTTTTGTATATAAAGTTGAATAAAGATTAAAGCTTGTTTATATTATTACTAGGATACTTTTTTACAAAAAATATTAAAGCTTTGGTTTTATAGATTTAAGAAAGAAGTAGTTAATAAAATCCTAATCCGATTTAATGCTCCCAGATATGGTGATTTTTTGGCTAATAAAAAAATACGATTAAAAAAATTACGATAATTAAAGTGAGATGAAAAATTAAATCGACATTGTATATTCTTTAGTATATACAGTAGAATAAAAACTAAAGCTTGTTTATATTATTACTAGGATACTTTTTACAAAAAATATTACAGCTTTGGTTTTATAGATTTAATAAAGAAGCAGTTAATAAAATCCCAATCCGATTTAATGCTCCCAAATATGGTGATTTTTTGTCTAATATAAAATTACGATTAAAAAATATGGTAATTAAAGTGAGATGACAAATTACATAGACAATTTATATTCTTTTGTATACAAAGTAGAATAAAAATTAAAGCTTGTCTATATTATTACTAGGATAATTTTCTACAAAAAATGTTAAAGCTTTCGTTTTATAGATTTAACAAAGAAGCAGTCAATAAAATCCTAATCCGATTTAATGCTCCCAAATATGGTGATTTTTTTGGCTAATAAAAACTTACGATAATTAAAGTGACATGAAAAATAACGTAGACATTTTATATTCTTTTGTATATAAAGTTGAATAACGCTCGGATACTCATTTTTTTCATCTCAACAAAGACCTTACATAAAAAGAATAATTATTATATAAAAGAATAATAATTGTGTACTACTTTCGAGGGATGTGTGTCTGCATTGTACCGTATGTAACCAGAGAGGTATCCAAAAAACGAGCTAGGTTAAACTTAGCTTCGATTGTAGCTAAATATTGTGATTTAAGACTGTTAACTTATTGGAATATGTGCTTAAATTATTTAAATTGTGAAATTAAGCGAAATTTAAGAATGGTTTTAAATTAGTATGTAGAAAAGCAGAAATGCTTGTTAGCACGTGGTGTATTTTTCGTCCGGGATTTATTTCCTAAAGTTGTATGAATATGTAAAAGAACTAGAAAGATTTTTTTAAAATTATTCCTTCACTTCTGTGAGAAAAATGCGATAATACGATTTATTGAGGCTCAATGATAGGTGGAGCGTTTAGGTAGGAAAGCGGTTAAGTCCTAGTTCAAGCTCGGATTAAAGGTGGCTGAACTTTGAAGGGTGGTCGATTTACACCTCAAAGTGACAAAGTGTCAAGAGTGCCTGAGGGGGGTAACGGTATCGGCGAGCCGATCGGGGTAGAAACATTGAAAAAGGAATACCGGCCGGTTCTTGAATGGACTTGCACTGACAGACGGATTGTTTTGCTTACAGAGGTGGCAGATACGAAGGGGTGCCGCAGGTAATGGGATAGGCCTGGAGGCCTGGAGGGAGAAAGGGAAGACGTGCCAGTCGGTGAAGAGATGTGGTCGGCGGTGGTTCTCCTGCTCGCTGCAGGCGCAATCGCCCAGGAAGGACGTCAGTCCAAGTCCAGGAGGCAGTTCTCGCCCAATCAGAACAAAGAGAGGAAGCCCAACATCGTCCTCATAATGACCGACGACCAGGACGTAGAGCTCGGTAAGTTTTTTATTATTTCTATTTCAAATTTGAGCGATTATCAAAACTATCTCAATTTTCCTATAATCTTGCTAAATTTTATTCCCCACTTGATTCCAAGTTTTTAATTAAACTCTGCACCTTTTAAACTGGAATGCATTTCCAATTAATCCTTATTTACCAACTTTTTATTGACTCAACGGTTATTTTTGTACAATTTCGATTTTTTTCAGTTGAAATTGAAACGATTACAATTTATAAACGGTCTGACTTGAGAGAAATTAACATTTTCTCTATGAAACGCGGAATCGCTGATAAAAATAATGACTTATGTGTATTTCGGGATTTGAGATTATGCCCTGTGACCTGTCGAAACGAAGAGATGTTTACTATCAAAGCAATTATCTCATAGACTATAACAGAAAATCTTTCTTGTTTCGTAACCCGAAACAAAACATTGAATAAACTATCGATTTCGCGTATGATAAAATTTATTTTTGTATAAAACACCCAGGCAGGAATTTTATATAATATTTTATTATAACGCGTTATAGTTGAGCGAGTGTTTATTCCGTTAGTCTTTGTGAACTCTATTGTTTTAATTACAAGAAGAATTTATATAACTCAGTATGTGGTTTTTATTGTTTTTTTTTGAAACCTGAAACGTCTGTTTGATTGTATTGTAACTTTTCCTTGTTTTATAATTCAAAGTAAATCTATTAAGGGGTTGTTCACTTCCCCCCACGAACAGTAAAACAATATATCATATTTATGCACTTTTTATTCATTAAATAATATATTTCGTACCCTTACGAATTTATAGAAAATAAAACGTGCTTTACCATTGATATCTAGAAGATTCAGTTATAAGTGTTATAACAAATATTATTATGCTTTTATCTCCGTATTATTTATGATTAGCATAGCATGATATAACTAACACTATTGAATATATTTTGTGGTTATTTTTGATTGATCTTTAAATTCTAATGTCGTGATAAATTAAAAATATTATCGATCTGTTACATATCTGTTGCTAAAATCGTGTTTTATAACATCTCAAGTATTTATTTCCCTGTGTTGAACCTGTCGAGGTGTGCACGGATTGTTTCGCATAAATCCCCTGTCCCAGATCCGTTTTGTCCGCATGTTTTCGCTGTTGATTCGGTTGAGCGCGCATCAGTTCTGCAACGAATTTTTAATTAATAAATTTTTCTTTTTAACAGCGAATTATTCGGCAATATGACGTACAGTCTTACAAAACTTATATGATGAGAGTTTAAGCCTCGCGATTCTCTGAACTTCACTGACTGTGATATAATCAGCCACACAGTGCAAATGGATCCGCCGACGATAAAAGATACAAACTCTAATATTTAGAAAAAAACGATGAAATTATAAATAAATTAAATGTCGATTGTATTTAAAGCCTACCCTGGAGTACTCCATGGGTAATTGGAGATATACCTCTTCATTCACGCTAATAAATTACATTCAGTACGTGTCACACAGTTTATGAACAAAAAACTATGATTTGTACCGGCTTTCCTTCGTAAATAGGTTTTCTAAAATCGAGTGATTGGGTAAAAATTAGGATTTAAAAAAGTTGAACGAGTTGGTTTCTTGATGAGGTCAGTTGAATCGAATTAACCGCTGGAAAAGAAATTACCACGATCTCCTCCATTCGGGCGAACGATCTTTCGAATTTGCTGCACGTCGCCATCTTGCAAATTTTCACACCAGGTGAAGTTTTGTTTTTAAATTGTACCCGGCTTCTGCTGTGTTCCCTTTGCTTCCAGGCCACAGCATTATTTTTATAGGTGCCACTCAATGGTGAAAATGGTATTAGTTTTTCAATTATCACTATTATACACTTTTATATTTTACATTATCGTTTCTTTAATAATTACTTAATACATGTTATTTAAATTAATGTAATTTATAATTTAGCAATATTACAAGTCCAGTGGATTTACAAAGGACATTTGCTAATTATATTAAAAAATGAATGAAATCTTCGCTAGAACGGAAGAAACACATCTAAATTATGCAAATGGAAAAAAGACATCGGTCCCTGGCCTGCGGAGGCCGTGTCTGTCTAGAAAGAAAAATGCCATACTTACCAGGTTGCTCATAGGTTATACCAAGATTACACACAGGGGGTGAGTCCACATAGGTGTCCGCTGTGCGGATACTTATCACGGTAGAGCATACAATAACGGATTGCAAAGAAAGAAATTCAACCCGAATAACCTATGCACGGTCTTGAGGCATGGCAGCAGGCACAGATCGCCGTTCAAATATATCAGGTCCATAAATATTTTAAATTATACATAGGATCTTTGTGTTTTCATTTATTTTATATATGTTATTTATTTAAATAAATGTATTTATTTGCGTGAATAGAGGGGCGTATCCCCAAAATTACCCGAGGATTATCCAGTACTCTGGGATAGGGTGAATGATTTGTGCTGTATTTGTGATTTATTAGCGTGAATGGTAGGGTTTATCCCTAATTACTCCGATGAATATCTAGTACTCTGCCCTGGAGTAGAGTGAATGTATGTGTGAGTATAATTTATTAGCGTGAAAGGTAGCTTTACCCCGAGGAATATCGAGTTCTCTGTTCTTGAGTAGAGTGAATGCATGTGTGAGTGTAATTTATTAGCGTGAAAGGTAGCTTTACCCCGAGGAATATCGAGTAGGCTGGGGCAGTGTGAATGATTTGTGCTGTGTAGATACAATTTATTAGCGTGAATGGTAGGGTTTATACCCAAATACCCCGAGGAATATCGAGTTCTCTGTTCTTGAGTAGAGTGAATGCATGTGTGAGTGAAATTTATCAGCGTGAAAGGTAGCTTATCCCTAAATACCCCGAGGAATATCGAGTACTCTGGGGTAGAGTGAATGAATGTGTGAGTGTAATTTATTAGCGTGAATGGTAGGGTTTATCCCCAATTATCCCGAGGAATATCGAGTACTCTGTTGTGGAGTAGAGTGAATGCATGTGCGAGTATAATTTATTAGCCTGAATGAATGGAATTTTTCCCAAATACTACGAGGAATATCGAGTACTCTGGGGTAGAGTGAATGAATGTACAAATGTAATTTATTAGCGTAAGTAGTAGGTTTTTTCTCAATTTCCCCGAGGAATATCGAGTACTCTGGGGTATTGTAAATGAACGAGTGAGTGTAATTTATTATCGTAAATGGTAGGGTTTATCCCCAATTACCCCCAGGGATATCGAGTACTCTGCTCTGGAGTAGAGTGCAAGATTATACAAATGTAATTTATTAGCGTGAATGGTAAGGTTTATCCCTAATTACCCCATTGTTTTTTTTTAAATCTTCGTTCTGTGTATTTGTGTTTGTCATTTGTCTTATTTTATCCGCATTTGACGAGGCCCTGAGGTGCAAAGAGGATAGCAATAGGAAACAGAAAAGAGAGCATTTGTTGCCGTTGTACCATAAAATATCGAAACAGCCGGATAAACAGAAAAAAAATTAGTAATATTAATACGCGAGAAAGTTAAGAAAAGAAATATAAAGCTAAGGAAGAATGGTGATGACCAAGTTTGCCGGCCCTAACTTAAAGAAAAAAAAATTACAAAATTCTTTACTCCTAATTTTCAATGCTTCTTTACAGAAATTAAACAATGCATGCTAGCTTCTATCATTTAACATATCTAATGCCTCGCGGCCCATAACATAAATTTGAAAAAAACAACATTTTTTTTTATTAAGAAATTTTTCATATTGTGCTAAAAGACTTCATCATATCGGAAACAAATCGGGCACAATTGCGGGGCAGCTCTAAAAGAGGCACTCCGTTTTAACAAATCGACCCATGCTTTTATAATAATTTTAACGTTTTACATTCCTAATTTACTGATATAACGACTGTAAATTAATTCAAAGTTTAAGTATCTGCACAAAGGGTATTGCATTATTCTTTACGAAGTCATTACGTTTAATGAAATATAGATTCATGAGGGCTACTTGCAGTTTATCTAGTTGATTCGCCATAGTTTGGGATCAAAAACATAACAACAAGCATGAGAGGCAATCAGCCATTTTGTGGTTTAAACATCCCATTGTCACAAATTTATAGTATTTTCCAGCCCGCACCGACAATTTTTGAAATGTGCAAAGCAGGTTTATTATGTGAACAAGAACAGGTGCGTTTCAAAGTACTAAAACGTACTAGGATGGATGCCGAAGAGTTTTTTAATAAAACATAAATTTTTCTTCGATTTTGGTACATGATGTGATATGTATAAAACGCCATATTCGGGCGATATAAACAACTGCACGTATTGACGATTTAAAAAGTTAAATTTGGACACTACAGAGCGTGTTACATATTTGCAAGCTTGCACCATACACTATTCTGTGCCAGCTTTATTGCAGAATTCTTTTTTATTTTTGATCCCAATGCACTTGAATACTCTTACAATTTCAATAGGTCGATTTTTGTATAATCTTTATTCTAGCCTTGATTTCTTACCTCTGTTTTTTAAAAATCATCATTTTTATCTAAATTTAACTGTAAATTCCAAAATTAAACATTTTTGGTAATAGAATTAATCATGAATTGCAAAGCCTGTGAACTCTGGGTTTACAAATAAATTTTTGCTTCGTCGTAGAAAACCAGCTTATAAGCGTTTTGGACCAAAATATATGCAGGTCAAATTCCGGGAAAATGCCTGTTTAATGGTGGCTGATTACATCGTAGATATCTGGTTGATAAGTACTTTTTCTAATCACCCTAATAATATCAACGCTAATAATTTTTTTGCTAAAAAAAGAGAGAATAAGAGTTAATTCATATATGTTTAGCGGCCATAATTGACCATATTAATTATTTTAATTAATTATTATTTATTTTTTATCTCAACCAAGACCTTAGATAAAAATAATTATTAATTGAAATAAGTGTTAATGTTTTTATAACTTCTCCGATTTTTTTAAAGGTTTTCAAATATTTTGATTTCTGTTAGTTTTACTTTTATTTTACATAA